TCAGCAACTGAGTTAATCACTTCGGCATAGTGAATGATTTTCGGTGCGTTTTATATATGTTTACCAAAAACTTAAACAACAACAAAATACATAATTAAAACAAATAAAAACCTAAAAGAACGACAATGTACTGGGTAAAGAGTAGAGCAACAGGTTATTAATTTTGTTGATATACATAGTTTGACAGAAAGCTTTTAAAAAATATTTGCGTTTGAGAGAAACAGAGAATGAGAATGAGAGAATCAATTAGAAATAACATGTTAGGCTGTCCAATCCATAAAGATTACCAAATTTGGCTTTTTCAAATAATTTTGTTTTTATCTTATCGTTACAATGTAGCGTCAGTAGTAACTCTGTCAAAGAAACTTTCAAACAAAACAAAAATTAATATAATTGCAAAAATTATATTCTAATTAAGTTCAAAAATCGTTGATATGTTTTGATCACAGAGACCCCTACTTTTCTGTTTTATATGTAGGAATAGAAATTAATATTTGTGCTAAAAATAAATTTAGGCGAAAAAATAATACATTAACAACTTTGCACTTATAATATAAATAAAGGCATTTGATCTTCATCAACTGTCTATCCACTACTGGAAGTTGACGGTTATATATAATAAATTTATTTGTTTCCAATTTCCATATAAATTTTATGTGACAAAAGGCGATTACAGATAATACAAAATTAGCAATGAAATCAATTTCTTTACATTCGATTACGCTTTCCTATATTGGTCATATGAAAAAGTTCTCCAGTCGATATCTAGCCGAACTTAGTAAATATGATATCTTACTTGTTGGTCAGCAATTTACGGCTTATCGCCACAATCTCTTCTTTAATTATTACAAAGTCACTACGAAAATTTGTTACAAAATGACGGTACCATCATTTATCAAAAGCTTACACTTTTTTTATTACGCTTTCTATCTTGGTCGTATGAATAAGTTCTCCAATCGATATCTAGCCGATCTTAGTAAATATGATATCTTACAAATTTGTCAGGAATTAACTACGAAAATTCGTTGGAAAATGATGGTACCATCATATTTCAAAAGATTATACTTATTTTAATACTCTTTCCTATCTTGATCGTATTAATAACTTCTCCAGTCGATATCTAGCTGATCGTACTGAATATGATATCTTACTTCTTGGTCAGCAATTTACAGTTTATTGGCAAAATCTCTTCTTCAATTATTACGAGATCACTACGAAAATTCGTTAGAAAATGACGGTACCATCATATTTCTAAAGCTTATGTGTGAACCATACATAAAATCACATATTACTAGTTTTATATTATTTTCTACGCTAATCAGGATTTTATTCAAAGAAAACGTTTCTGGCTTTCTCGATTTCGAATTTTATTAATTTATCTGGATATTATGTATGATTCAGTCAGGAGGCCAAACACTGCACACGTTCAACCAGCGGATCTTTATTATTTAAGATGGCATCTGGATAACGATTAAATAAGCATTATACAACTTTATATAATATATAACTATACAACTTTATTTAGCTTTTTTTTTAAATTAAGTTTATTATAAAATATAACATTACTATATTTCAATTATCTGCGAAGTACTCGTACATATTATTATTACATTATATTTTGTTTTGTTTATTTTATTTTAAAAATATTAGAAACAATTTAATGTATTCGCACTGCTACTATACTATATAATATACTATATAAAAAATATTATTTTACGATGATATAACTCCACGATTGTAAAGCCACGGTAATAATATTTTAACATGTTCTCGATATCTTACATTTGAAAATAATTTATTTCTAAAGTCACGCCCTTCTGCCGTATCGCTATGAAAATTCTCATATGTAGCATTTTCGCAAGGTTCCACCAAGACAGAAGCCATGACACCAGTAACTGTGCTGAAACCTGCAAAATGAAGTTTATTTAATGAGTACAATACACTGCATATAATATGATTTTTCTTTTAATTTAAATCAAATTTAACAAAGAAAAGTCACTCTATTTTCAAAAATAAAAAAATGAAGAGATTTTAAAATCTATTTCAATAATTTAGAAATATAAACTTTTACAGATTAAATAACTTATGTATTTGAATTAGTCATATTTTAGATGAAAATATGATGGTTATCCCAAATGTAATCAGTAATTACAGTTCTCATTAGAGTATTTGATATTAGCCTATTTCTGGCGTACGTTCGAAATATTGAACAATATATGATAAAATGGGATTAATGTAAAGAGTACAGTTGTAAACTTTTCTCAAAAGTTGTTTCCGGCGATACTTAAAATGGTTGTGTGATGGTGTTTTCCCTTAACTTTATTTGATCAACAGACTGGGACAATGTGTCGGTTGTGTAAGTCAAAACTAAATTTGGGTTTTCAATAAACGTACTTAAAATCCATAGAGAAATCTAGTGGTAGAAGAAAAATATTCAGTAGAAACTGTCGATGTTTTCTACTTGCGCACGCTGTGGCCATACAAAGAAAAGCTGTATCAGCTAAAAGACACCTTTGGATTTAATGGCGTACGATTGGGTGGAAATTAAACAAAAGCAACTAAGTAACGTTTTAGTTAATATAATGATGTCCAGAAACACCAACAAATGGACAATGAAAATTGTACCCGCGAAGTAGTGGAGAGTTTCAAATACCTGTGCTGTTAGCTAAGATGGTACATTCGAATAGAAAAGTTCAAAACAGAGTAATTATAAATGACAAATCTGAAAGGCTGATATTTTGTACGACAAGATAAGATATAGCCGTTAAAATGCAAAAGTTTAAAAAAAAGTGATCAGATCAGCGATGATATAAGTCTCATCGCGAAAAAAGATTAGTAACCTAGAGTGATAGAAATGCGTATGCTGCGTTGGATCAACAAAGTGTCAATTATGGCGAATTTCAATTAAAAACCAACTTCTTTCACCCCAATCGTAACTAAGTTGCAAGAAATCTAATTTAGTTGGTAACACCAAGTAATAAAAAGACCAGAGGACAATGCTGTGGGACAAGTACTACGGATAAAAGAGATAAAGAGTGGACCAGATAGACTTGTCCATATAGTTTAGATTTTTGGAAATCTAAACATAATACCATTAGTAATGACATCCGAAGCTGGCGCGTAAAGGATGTGACAATACAGAAACATTAAAAATTGTGTCTGTGATATGCGGACAATTTGGTGATCATAAATAACTACAAAATAATAGAGAACAGTATTTACAGAAACCAATGTAGTTAAAATTTTTTTATTATGAGGTTTTTGTTCCATGTTTTTATTACAACATTATATTTTATCATGGTCTAATTTGAACTATGGTTAAAGGATAATTAAACTCTACACATATATGCTATCATGGTCGAAGGAAAAATCACACTATTTAAACTATGTAATGTAAATAACTGTCATATGAAAATTATAATGTCGTCAAAAATTTAGTTTAATTTTAGTAGAATTACTTACCCCATAAACCATATTTAAAAAGCGCAATATGTATGTCCCTTAAAGTTGGGATTGTTTTTGAATAACCTAATAAGTTTAAGTTCTGAACCAAGTTTTCATGATAATATTTTATAAAATAATCAAAATGCTGAATTTTTAAGCTGTAGTTGACAGAAGATAGTATTAACGTCAATAAATCCTGTGCTGGGGAACCATATTTCGGTATTTGAAAATCTACAAAATAGGTTTCTTGTATACTTTTTTCGGCATTATATTGGAACATAAAATTATTAATCCAGCAATCTCCATGATTCAAAACATTAAAATCATTTGAGTCAATTTTTGTTATTTGGTAATGTAGATCAAATTGTTGAGGTACAAATTTTTCCTGAAACGCAGATTATTATTATTTTTATATATTATTTAAATACATATATGAATCCCAACCAAGTCTGCCCAGTAGTATTCATTTCCCAAATATTGTTTCAAAATTTTCAAAAATGAATTGACAAAACCATTGTGTAATGTCTTAGCCTCAGCACGTACGGTTTCTGTAAAAACTCCAACTGTAAACATGGGTGAAAATAATCCCTTAGTTTCCACGTACACAGCCGAGGCAGCATGAAATTGAGCCAATTTACTAAGTACAGATTTGGTATGCTGCATATCAAGACCATCTTGACGTTTGACATTTTTAAAGCCATATTGACACAAATCTTCAAGTAAGACATAGTTTTCATTTGTTTCAAGTTTATAAGCTTGTGGTCCAAATTTCACAGTAACACCACACTTCCGATATAATTCTTCAAATTGTGGTAAGAGATCGAAATATACTACATTTTCTACAACGAAAAGTTTATGTTCCTTTACTAGTGTATTCAGCATTTCTTTATCATGTGGCACTTTCAACATGAAAGTCACGTATTTGCTTGTGTTTGTGAGATCTTTGAATTTCAAAATTGTACGAAAATATTAAAATAGTTTACTGAGATAAGTAGTTATATGAACATGTATATAGTATATATATTACTTTAACCCACTCATTTCAATTTCCACGCGTAGCATCACAGCTGCATAGTTTTCACCTGGTGATAATGCTGGAGACACTTTTAGATTTTGAATTTCATCACAACTAAATTTTCGTTTCAAAATATCCATAAACAATTCTTTACACAACCATTTTGGTGTATTTGCACATTTATTTGTTATTTTTTCCATGTTGCAATTATATCTTTTACAAACTCACGCTGATGAACTATTGTATTTGAGAGTTGAAATGCGACTAAATCATTTCTCTCTAACAGCTTTTTTTTAACTTTTCTGTACATTTTACAAACAATATAATTACATTATTAATTGTAATTGTTAAACTCATTAAATATGCATGTACATTTATATAAAGATATATATATATAAATATATGGATATATAATACATTCATTAAATATAAGAGTATAAGTGAAAAATAGGTATATCTATTATCAATAAAGCATGAGGAAATAAACTGAACCATTTTCTGCACTTCATGTCATTCAGCTTTCTTTGCATTTGACGACATTGAGTCAAAGTTTTTTTGCTGTGTAAAATTCGTAATGCAGGACCGACCTCCCTTTAAAATACATTTTAAAGTATATAGTTTCAAGCCCTTTGAGTTTTTTATGACGATACAATGAAATAGTAGGCCTAATTAGATTTATATAGAAGTTTATAAATTTTGTACTTGTACAATTCATAGCTTTTTGTTTTACATAATTAATTTAATTATTGGAAATGCTTTTATTAGACAATTATGATTTATATGTATTTTCAGCTATTTTTATTTCTTATCAAAAGTATATTTTACACGTTGCGACATTGATAAAAATTAAATCAAATTTTATCAAAAAATTGACGAACTTTAAACAATTTTATTGAAAAGCATTTGTATTGTGGAAATAATTCTTAATATACAAAATACTTCAGTTGTCATTTCAGTTATTGTAGCTGCAAATCAATACTCTAAAGCACCTCGGTTCTTTAACCATGGTAAAATAGCTTCTATATGCTTGCGATAGCGTCCATTTGAAAACATTAACATTTTGAAGTCTGCAGCCGTATTTGACTCACTGACAAACATTTCCAGATCCGCATTGTCGTTAGGATCCAGCAATACTGCTGCCATAACACCAGTCGCTGTGGTGTAACCTGAAATTTAATTTATATTGTTAATAAATAATACAAGTTATATGTGATTTACGTACCCCATAGTCCATATTTATACAATATTGCATGTATTTCCTTGAGTTGTGGCAAGGGTTTGTTATATTTAAGTAATTTCAAATTTTCAATCAAATTATCGTAATAGTATTTTATAAAATATTCAAATTGACTTAATTTCAATTCTAATTTCGTTGACGATAACAGAAAGTAAAGTAAATCTTGTGCTGGTGTGCCATATTTTGGTATTTGATAATCTACCAAATATGTTTCTTTGATTTTACCAAAAGCATCCCATTGAGACATAATATTATTTGACCAGCAATCTCCATGGTTGAGTACATTAAACTCACTTGCATCAATTTTGCTAAACTTGAAAAGTTCATCTACCATCTTAGGTGCGACTTTTAACTAGAAAATTTACATCACTTAGTTCTGAAGTCTAAATTTCAAATTTTACCTTACCACTTACCACACTATCTTCATACTCCTCGTGACCAGCATATGTTTTCATACATGTTAAAAATGATTTCGCCATACCATCAGTAACTTGTTTCATCATACCTTTAAAGTCTGGCCTAAAATGTCCTACAAGATATTTGTCATCATATTTTCCTATCGTCTCCACATACACAGCTGAAGCAGCATGCCATTGTGCCAACTTTTTGAGAGTGGCTTTGGTATGTTCTAAGTCCAGACCTTCTAAACGATTTGCATTCTTAAAGTCGCGCGGCCTCAGATCTTCCAGAAGTACATAGTCTTCTTTAGTATTGAGCTTATAACACTGGGCACCAAATTTGATTTGTACGCCTGCCTCGTTGTACATTCTTTCAAATTGCGGCACAATATTTAAATACATATCAGCTTCTATATCAAATATATTGTGTTCCTGTACAGGCGCATCTTTGAACAATAGATTGGCATGACGTACTTTCATTATATATGAAGCAGTTTTAGTTTTCTCATCTAAAATGTATACATATCCCTATATCTTGATGTTTAATTAAGTAAATATATTTCATGGAAATACCTGCCAACTCCATTTCTATTTCAATTCTTAGCACCACAGTTGCATAATTTTCACCAGCAGCTAAAGCTGGATAGGCTTTGAAATTTTTTATTCCTTTAAAATCAGGAATGGTTTGCTTCAGAAAGTCTTCAAAAAGTTCAGCTTTAACCCAAGCTGGAACTTTAGAGTTTACTGAAGTGTCGCCGTTTGGCTTATTTTCTTCTTTTGCCGACATTTCTAGTGTAGCCTTTGAAACACTCAATTTCGATCAACAACCGAATAATGACTAAGAGAAGTCAACTGTTGTTTACGAAATTTGTTAACTAAATATTTAGGGAAATTTTTTTTTGTTCTTGTTGTATAAACACACAACAAATTTTGCTCACTATAATGACGATTTTGGCGATACTGAGCTGTTGCGAGAGTCTTCCATATCAGCTGTCGGCTTCTAAATATCTAAGCATTGCACACTCATGTGGTGGAGTGTACAGTAGCGGACTTATTAAAAGAGAATGTCTTTATATATAAACCGAAATCAGTTTGAATAATTAATATTTTATGACAATTTGATTTATTAATATAACATAAATATATAAATAAAATAATTAATATAATCAAATATAAAAATAAATATAAAATAAATTTAATTAATACATTAAATAAAACTGAAATAAGTCATGTCATGAATAGAGTAAACCAATAAGTTAGACATTTACTACACATGAAAGGACTAGGAAAAGCGAAGATATTACTTTACACAACGCTTCACTACATTTATGTATACTATGAGACTATGACATTAAAATTTATATTGTCAATAGTCACAGCAAACTCAATAGCCAACGTCAAAATTTCGTATTCTTTTATAAATATTGATGACTTCTAAATATTTTAGCTATCTAGGTCATTTTTAAATTACAAATTGATGAGAATAAATCATACGATTATATAGACAGAAGCTCTTATAATGGAATCAGTTTGGTTAAGTTCTTTATGAAAAATTAAATAAGTACCGAAAAAAATGGCAGAATATACTTCAGTATTACAAGTATGACGAGAAATCCCGGCTAAGGCTCCTGCTGCTTGTAGATTATTTAACGGGTAAATGGTATGCATACTATCTAAAAAAATAGATTTCTTTAAGGATATAGAATATCAGAACAGACAGTCATAGAGAATGACATCCGCTTCTAAACAGATTCGATATTCTGTTAACTTAGATTCTTTTTATTAGGATGATAATGCAGGTCATGACGACCAGTTATATATTCTATGAATAAGTATGAAGCGATTTTAGTCTGTCTTTCACCTGAAGTTACGCAACGGCAACTACTGTTGCTAATCAGACTAATCAGACTATGTTGTGGACCATCTTCTTCCATAATAAGGCCCTTGTTAACAGAATTGTATGGCTGATTTAGTCCTTGCGAGTTTTCTCCGGACTCCTTTAATTTCAGTGTGAACAGGAATCTATCAAAGCACTATACTGTTAAAGTTCCCTATAAAAATATTTCTACATTGGCAATATTATTTATTGTTGTAATATATTTGTAATGAGTGCTCCAAATTAGGTGTACTAATCTATTGTACAAAGAGGATTTGAGCATAGAGGCATAAAATGTACGCGTATATAGTTTGCTTTAATGATTTTTTTTGGATTTATATATATATTGCTCTGCATTTAAGTTAGTACACCAAAGGATGAATAAATATAAGTTGAAGTTGATTTTATCCCAATAATCACTAGAAGTAATCATCACACTATTGTTTTTTTTTTCACGAAATATTTTATGATGATATCAGTAATGTGGACGTTTAACAAAAAGGTAAAATTTGGTGGTGTTACATCCTGTACTTTTTTTACTTGTCTTTCGCAATTCTTTGAATCAATACCAATATTAAAATATTATATATTTAATAAAATATGAATCATCATTGTTGATAACACATATCTACTAAGTGAGTTTCACCGATATGGCTTAGAAAATCACAAGATAAGAATATTGTGCGTTATGAACAATTATGAACTTTTTTTTTTTGCATTAACGTTATTACAAGTTTAAGATTGATTGAAATTTTATTAATACATAAGAAAATGTTTTCGATAAATAAAATTCTGTCGACCTACATACTAAGAATATCATTCTCATTCTTGCGAAATTATTATAGTTTTATAACGATATACTAGTACTAAAAAATATTTACGTAAAAAATATTATTAAAAAGCGATTACTGTGTAATAATTTTTTTAATTAAATTTTACAATTCATTCTTTATAGAATAAATTCAAATTTATATATATAAAAATTATTATTAATGGATATTTTGTATTTGTGTGTATGGTAGAGCCAAATTATTTTATTTATATATATGCTTATATATATGAATATATGCTTAAATTAACTGACAAACGATGCATTTCGTAATTAAGTTATCGATTATAGTTATTATGATTATTACTTAAATGGGGCGTGGAACTGCGACCGTCGGGTCTACTGTGCCGCCTTCTGGGCTTAGAGTAAGTCTCCTAACCCTGTTGCGTCAATAAAAAGTAGTATAGAACCTACTTTACTAAGTTTTATTGCTTCTTCCGTAAGGGTATGCATTTCTTGCAGTCTATTCTGTATATGCATTCGCGCAGGGCATTCTAACAGCACTTGTGTGGCTGATTTTTAGTTCTCTTAGCAGAATCAACAGTTTATATCCATATATATGCCCAGTCTCGTAAAATGGTATTTTAATTTACAGTGTCGTGTTAAATTTCTTGTGATGGGTCTAGACTTTTCTTTTGATAAGTCCATACGATCCTGGTATTTCCTATTGATATATGTATCAATAAGTGATTTGGATTGCATTAATTCTGTTACATTATTTCAGTAATTCTTTTTGTTCTGGTGCTCCACAATTTTTATGGGAGACCGGAGAATACTGTGTCTTAATCCACACAATCGTTCCGGCACCTTCCTCCGTAAGCGAACCGTCAGTGAACCATGCCGTTGTGATCTCAATTAGCTGGTTGGTTTGTTTGATGCCTTGTCAGCTTATTTTGTTGCTTATTAAGTTTAAAAGAGTTTGTTAAATAAAGAACATAATTATACGATTTCGAATTTTATTTATTCCAAATCAAATTCAGTAACATAATAATCAAGAAAACTGTTAGATAAAAAACAAACCTAAAAAATACATCGTCTTGGCGCTCTAATAAGAATATGTATATTGTAGAGGGTATTCAATGCCTTGATGAACTTACTTTTCTCTCCACACTGGTTGTATAAAGGCATAAAAAAGCACACTTCGTTGAAATTGAAAAACCAAAAGTAGTACTGTAATTGATTATTATTATCCTTATCATTTTTGATTTAGATATTCCATTGCTACATATGCTAATCTAGTTTTATTTGGTAATTACTACGTATATTAGCATATTGATAAGATCAGCTTTTCTGTGGTGATAGAATTCTTTTATGAAACTTACACAAATTGTTTGAAAACCTTTTTATGTGACTTACTCACGTAGTCACTCACATTCATATACTCAATTTCACTCCTTGTTCTCTTGTTCTCTTTCGCAGTTTTGTGCTTTCTCTCTCTATTGTGTTTCTATGGAAGTTTGTATAATGAGCATGCAACAAGTGTATTCTCCATTTCAGTATAAATTTGACCGTGCTAATGGTAATATAGTTCCGTCATTGGCAAAACCAAAATTGCAATGTCTTCTTCAAAGAACGTTGACGTTAATACAGAAAGTAGAGACGATGCCGTAGTTTCAACTGTACCTGAGTGGATTAAACCAGAATTGTTTGTGGATTTATTAAAAAACACAATACCAGGCTATAAAGATATAGGTAGTTTTAAAGTTGCTTCGGCAGTTCCGCCGGGTGAAAACTATGCCACAATAATACTTCGTATTTCAATTGAGGTTGTATTGGAAGGCAAGTTAGCATATATCTTACACCGTAACTTAATAATTAATTAAATTGTATTCAAAATGGAAAATAGATGATAAAACTGTCAACAAATCTTTTATCATGAAAACACTACTTAACTCTGAGTTGATTAAACAACAAATGGGCAATGTGGAATTTCGTGTAGAAAGTGAAATGTATAAAAATATTTTGCCAGAATTTGAAAAATTGTATACAGATATTGGTTTGCAAGTGAAGTTTGGTACTCGGGCGTACAACTTGCCTATTAAAATCGATTATGTTCTTTTGGACGACTTATGCCAACAGGGCTTTAAAAACGTTAATCGCTTGTTGGGTTTAGATTTGGCGCATACTGAAAATGTTCTAAAGAAACTTGCACAATTTCATGCAGCCTCCGCAGTGCGGGTGGCCACCAAAGGAATGTTTCCTGAACCAGTAATGACGGGCATATTTAAAAGCGATTATCGTGAATTTATAGAACAGATGACAGGTGGTATGTGCAGAAGTTTTCTTGCAAATATTCAGTGTTATGATGGTCATGAAGCTTTTATCAAACAAGTGGTATGATTATAATAGACTCTTATTAACGAATTTAAATAGTTAATATACAATATGTTTGATTTGCAGCAAGATTTACAACATAGTTTGGTAACAAAATATTTTGCCTTAGCCAACTATGTACCGGAAGATTTCAATGTTCTTAATCATGGTGATAGTTGGGCTAATAATATTATGTTCCAGCACGATGAAGACGGCAACATAAATGACACGTGTTTTGTAGATTATCAGATTCCGAAATATGGCACTCCTGCACAAGATTTACTATATTTCCTTATGTCATCACCAAATTATGACATTAAAATTCGAAAATTTGATTATTTTATCAGATACTATCACGATCATCTTTCTGAGAACCTAAAACTGCTGAATTATTCAAAGAAAATACCAACTCTTCGAGAGTTACATATAGATATTCACAAATACGGCATATGGGGTGTGTTTAATATTAATAATTTTAAATAATAATTATAAACTAGATTCAAATTTTTGTTTTAGCATTTATCACATCTATAGGCACTTTAGCAGCTTGCTTATTTGAACCAAATAAGGATGCTAATTTAGAAAACTTAATGAGCATCACAGAAGAGGGTATTGCGTTGAAACGAAAAATGTATTCACAGGAGAGCTATCGTAAAAATATAGAAATAATAATGCCATGGCTACTAAATCGGGGAGTATTGGAATGAATGAATTTGCAAGTATTAAAGATATGATATGTAGTAAATATTTACATAAAAATTATAAAAAAAATTGTGTTTATATTGTTAAGTAATTGGTAGTTAATAAAATATAAAGAACAACTATTATTACTTCTGAAAGTTTATAGCGATATGAAAATTATTAATGAGAATTATTGGAGTTTTATTATATTTTGACATGAAATTGAAACTTTTCTTTTACAAGACGCATACGTGGGTTGGGATGTGGATGGGTGCTGGTTGGGGAGGGAAAATAAAAAAGGAAGAGTGGATATAGGGTGGTTGAGAGTTTCAATTGAGGTTAACCTGGGCCCAGGCAAAAAACCTTTCCATTTTAAGAAGGTAGATCCAAAGGTCAATTGGACGAAGGTTTGCATGTAAGGGGGAGCAAGATATAAAGTGGACGACGTCGTGATTAATAGAGTTGCAGTTTAGACACTCATTAGGAATAGACTTGTTCATGATATATAGATAGATACTTCTTCTTTATTTCAAAATATTTCAACATAAGTATGTATTATGCCTTCAATAAAAAAAATCGATTGGAGTTACTTAAAAATATGTTGAAAAATAAAGAATACGATAATGATTTGATAGTCGTCTGTCGGAGGACTAAATCAATTGAGCTAAGACAGTTCTTGCTGCACGGGGGAGGCATCGTTCTTCCTGGGAATTTTTAGGCGGAGGCTTATTGAGAGCCTTTTTGAGAGTCAACCTAGATTTCGAAGAGGATACTGAATCTGTGTGAACCATTATAGGTCTACGTTTGTATTCGATCTCACTGCTGTTAGTTCCATTGCAATAAGTGTCGATATTTGTGTGGTAAAGAGAAATAGATCGACGAATGCATCTAGAAAGGAGGGCTCTATTGAACATGGTGGTATTAGAATGTCCAGCTGTTTGGCACACAATAAGGTATTGCTTGGACAGCAGTTGATTATGCCCTGTTACAAGAACCATTTTGGATTCCGCTCGAAGATGGTCAACATGCGACATACGATGATAGTCGGTTGCAATCCGCAATACCGTGTTTTCGCAACATTGGATGTTAGTTCATTGCGTTTTGCAGAATTATGGGGTCCATACTCGAGCCGCATAGCCCGCATTGGATGTACTATTGCTTTGTATGTCCTACTTTCTTTTCTTTACCCCAAAATCAACCTGCGAGTGCACATTTCAACTATCCGCATATAGCTAAAGCATGTGCAGAAAAGGTCAACATGTTGTCGAGAATGACACTCAGGATTTTTGGTTTAGTGATTGTGGGTATCCTGAATTCACCGATATTAATGGGAAAAATTATGGATATCTTTTTTCATCCAGGATGTAAAGAAGATAGTATATACCTGTATTTAAATGAGTGTTTATTAGGTGAATAGCATGCCAGCTGGTAGATATGTATAGTGTAATTGATTTTGTTTACGAGTAGTACTTCGGAGGAAATTATATATTTTATTCATTCTATATCAAAACATTGAAACATTGGCTTAAAACTTAATTATAATATTATTGTCATGTGATGTACAACAGACACTTTTTTAGTTTTCTAATCTCTAAATATCTAATAAGCCTCTATAATTAAGAAAATGTAAAATCAATTCAGCATTTTCTTTAAATCTTGGATTTCCATAAAGCTTTCTGCGAAATTCGATTCCATCCGGAGTATTAGCCATAAAGATGTCAAATCCGGTGTGTTCATGCTTATCCATTAAGCATACAGAGGTCATATCAAATAAAGTTACAACAGCTATCGCAAAATAATCAAAAATATATTAAGTATTTTAAACTATTCTTACACAATCCTGTAACAGATATATACTTACCCATAAACCCGTACTTTAGTAAACTAATGTGCAGCTCTTTCAAAGTAGGAATTTTACCATTGTATGTCAATAGTCTTAAGTTTTCGCTCAAGTGTGAGTAATAATAACTAATAAAGTAATCAAATTGCTCCACTTTTAAATTTAATTGCGTTGCAGAAAGTATAAACGTATATAAATCATAAGCAGGTGGACCATATTTGGGTATTTGAAAGTCAATTAAATAAGTTTCCATTAGGCGATTCTCTTCATCATATTGAAACATAATGTTATTTATCCAGCAATCACCATGGTTCAAAACATTGAATTCTTCAAGATGAACCTTACTATATTCTATAGCTAAATCAACATAAAAAAACTAAATCGAAGATATCTTATTGAAATATTAGATAGAAGTGTGGAAATGAATTTATGAACACATATACTACATGATATAAGTATATTTCTACATAATACCTATATTCATATTTGTATTGGTTCACAAAAAAATAGTGATTGTGCGGTAAAAACTATTATTTATAGAAATTAAAAAATAGAACTGGAATCAAGTGCTTAAGTTAAATTATGTATAAGTGTGATAAAAGTGATCTACAAATACTGACCAGCTTCTCTATATATTCTTCACTATTATTGTATGCACTTGCAAATTCCAATATGATGGGTTTCGTTTGGTTAGACATGTCCTGAAGCATTTCACGTGTTTGTTCATTGTAGAAGCTCTCTTGAAATGATGTTGGGTACAGTCCATGTACTTCTACATGCTTCACAGAAGCTGCATGGAATTGAGCTAATTTACGCAGTACACTTTCCGTGTGTTCTATATCAAGTCCTTCCATACGATTTGCAATTTTGAAGTCTCGAATACGTAGATCTTCTAATATAATAGAATCGCAGCCAATATCTTCTTTGAATTTATAGTATTTTGGTGCTAAATTAAGCTTCTGTCCAGCTTTCTCATAAAATTGTACAAAATGTGGTAAATATTCTTCATACATAATGATTTCTTTAGTGAAAATATTAAATTCCGACTCATCGAAAAGTTCACTTTGAACAGGCATTTTAAGCATATACGAAAGATTTTGATTGGTGCCATCTATTAAAAAAAATATATACACTTAAAAGATTTTGCAATATACGAGTATATTGCTTGTTATTTATATCAATACGAATTTTTAAACTTAATAAGTAGTATATAGCATAGTATTTAAATAATACATGCATGCGACTCCTTAAAATTGCATAGTCAGATACCAAATCTGCTTTGATAGGGAATATAAGTGATTATAAGACTAACTTATATACAAATAATTTTGTAAATGCGGTCATTACACCAACCTGTTAGTTGTATTATTATTATAACTCGTAATATTGTCGATGCGTAGTTGTCTCCAGCTTTAGTAGCGGCCTCGGTTTTGAATGTTATAATTTTATCGAAATTGTCAATATTTTGTTTTAGAATTTCTATAAAATGCACCTCGAACTCAGCATCAGTATTGACTTTTTTGGCAGATCTAGAAGTAGCTGCGTTCGTTGTTTCACTAGAAAGGTTGATATCTGCATTTGGATGTGGTGGAGTAATTTTTTGTTTAACACTTTGCTCAATTTCGGTACTACAAGTTCAATAAATGATACTTATTTAGTGAATAAAATGAAAATAGAAAATGACAAATATGTGGACAGAAATATATTCAATTAACGTATCTAATTCAGAAAGTGGTTAGAAGGCTAAGTAGTTAAGTGATCCAGCAGTTTCGTTGACTTAAAAGTATAATTGTTTCATTGATATTACTTAAGAAGAGACTATTACGTTAAAATTATAAAAAAAATAACAATCTTCTTGTAACTGAATTTTATTAAGTTTAATGACAGTTCCACAAACTTTCCATGCTAATCATAAGGTTTTTAAATCAACTGCTTACAAGAACTGCTCAACTGCTTTTAGTTAAATTGTAACAAAAGTGCTGAAACTTACAAATACTAAATAATCAGAATTCAGTGAATTTCGAAAAGCCTACATAATTTACTAAAGTATTTAAATCATTTGAGTACGTGAAAATCCCTATTACTTACATTCAAATAAATAAAAGCCAATGTGCTAAATAATAGCACCAAAAAATGACAAAAAATAAAATAAGACTAGACGTCTAAATACCAAATTTTTTCTTATAGAAAAGGATCAAATATCTTTATTACTGAATCACCGCAATGAAGAATAACAAAAAATATGACGGCGATACAAAAGGCTGAAATTCTATCGTTATAAGAATACTTTAGTTATCAGCTATAACTATTAGAAATAATTATATTGACATGAGAGATGGAGGTTATCAACATTTAAAATTAAATTTTATTTATCTAATGATTTAGTTACCTTATACTTTATTATGAGTGTAACAAAGAAAGAAAGATTTACAGCAAAATAATTTAGTCTATTAATATTGTATTAACCATTTCTTAGTTGGAGGCACTAACATATGTAACAAAAAAGTATAAAACTTCGAACTTCCCTTCAAATTGGAGTTAACTTAAAATTTGATACAATCCTAAATAAAAAAATCCTCAGCCTATAAAACCACGTTAATAATGAATTGCAATGACGTCTTTTTAATATTAAGCCATTCTTGATCAATTATAAAATTGAATATGTAATTTCGGTTAATATATTTATATTTTTCTTAGCTAGCTTAGAAGATTAGATTAGGAAAATGGAGCATGTTTTGCTGGGGTATTGTGATATTAAAAATGGAGTTCAATTAAAACTAAGAAAATGTGTATTGAATCGTACTCATAATTGACTGTTTAAAAAAATTAACTTATCGAAGGACGAAAACAACAAATAACACATATATAATAATATTGATATATTTACAAATTCAAATATTTTTATTAAATATTTTAAAACGTACATATTCATAAATAATTTCAATAAATAAAATAATAAAAAAAATACATTCAGGTAACAAGATAACAACGTCAACAAAATTAGTTTTAGTTCAATTAGTTAAACTTACTCAAATTCTAACTGACCACGTCTATTTAACCAAGTAAATATAGCACTAGCATGTTTACGATATCGAGGATTAGAATATAACAAGTCAACGAAACTAACACCTTCTTCACTATCACTTAGCATTGATTCAATGCTAGCGTTCTCTGTAGGATCCAGCAATATTGCGGTCAAAACATTGGTGGAAGTAGTTACTCCTAAAATTATATACACATTACAGTACACAAATATTCTTCAGCCGCAATATATTATGTGACTTACCATAAATTCCATATTTCAAAAGATCAATATGCAATTGCTTTAAAGTTAGAATTTCACGTGGATAGTTCAAAAGTTTCAAATTTTTTACCAAATGTTCATGATAGTGCCTAATAAAGCCATCGAAATGTTCTAATTTAATATCATAAGTTGGTGACGAAAAAATGAAGTAGTATAGATCCTGAGCGGGAGTACCATATCGACTCATTTGAAAGTCTACAAAGTACACATTTTTAATCTTTCCAGCATCATCGTATTGATACATTATATTATTAGTCCAACAATCTCCATGATTTAAGACATTAATACTGCTTTCAGCACCTTTGTCTGCTGCCTGACATTTATCATATAAAGTTTTTTCATTGCTAATCTGCAAGAAATTTGTGAATTATATTCAGAGTGATCTATACACTCATACTCAATTAAAGAAATACTCATAAGTATGTTTGTACTTACAATTTTTTCTGCATATTCTTCGCTATTTTCAAAGGTCCTTAAATGTTTATAAAAAATGCCGAAGAACTGTTGACCCATGCCTTCAAAAAATGCTCGATTTTCTTCGCTTTTTAAGCTCTTGGTCAAATATTCTGGATAAGCGTTATTATTTTTTTCATACAACATCGCGGAGGCAGCATGGAATTCTGCTAATTTTTCTAGCACACGTTTGGTATGTTCCATATCTAAACCAGCAATGCGGTCCGCATTCTTAAAACCAAGGGTACGTAAATTTTCCAAAAGTAAATGATCACAATTTGTATTCTTCACGAACTTGTAACTCTTGGGTGCAAATACTATATCGTGTCCAGCTTCTTTATAAATATTTTCAAGCTGTGGCACAATATCGTACATAGCCATTTCTTTGTTGAAAGTATTGAAAACTTTCATCATAGCGCTAGCTTTTTCAGTGTCTAAAGGTATTTTCAGCATAAATGAATTTGGTTGAATAGTACCATCTGGATTTTAATCATACAAGTAAATAAATAAAAATAATTCTGCCTATTTAAGATTTACCTGTTAGTTCGGTTTCGATGTCAATTCTAAGCATAATAGATGAGTAATTGTCTCCCGAACTTGTTGCTGGGTTTATCTCAAATTTGCTTATTTTTTTGAAGTTTGGTATTTCTTTTTCTAAAATATCAATAAAATACGTTTCTGTTACCCATGCTGGGTAGTTCGGTTTTGCTTGTTGGTCATTCGCCGACGTCAGGGCGGATTCTTCAACCGAGGTCTCAGTGACTTGTGAAATTTCTACTGGCGTTGATATTTGAATTGCAGTGAGTGGTTTATTTGTGCTAAAATAAAATAAAATTTTAAATTTTTGTATAATATTTCAACTGTCGTTGAACTTAAAATAATCGGTAAACAAAATAAATTTTACTTACAATGGTTCCAAACAACCACGATTATAGAACCAAGGTAACAATTTGGATATGTGTTGACAATATCTGGGATTGGAGAAGAGCAAATTTTTAAATTCTACACCTTCGGCACCATCTGAGATAAAATTATCAAAGCTGGCCTTTTCCGTTGGATCTAACAAGACGGCAGATAATGTTGTCATTCCAGCACTTACTCCCCAAATGCCATATTTAAGCATTTGTACGTGTAGCTCACTTAATGTTGGTATGTTTTTGGGATATTTTAATAATTTTAGATGTTCGATTAAATTATCATAATAATAGCGTAGAAAATGATCAAATTGACTCAATTTTACATCAAGGGCAGTGGAAGTTATTAAAAAGTAATTCAAGTCTTGAGCAGGTGAACCATATCGAGGTATTTGTAGATCAACAAATTTTGTGTCTAATATTTTGCCATCATTTGCATATTGAAATAGAATATTATTAGACCAGCAATCTCCATGGTTAATAACATTAAATTCATCTGGGTCTGGTATGAGTAAACAGTCGAAATTATCTGCCATTACGTCAAAGAATGATTTCTAGAAATAATAGTAAAAATTATATTTTAATAATTTAATAATCAATTTCGTAATAAATGTAAGTACGTGCTAATGAATTCGTTTCTAATATTTAAAATTAAATATTTTTAGGGAAAGAAAAATTTTTTATTTGTTTTATCTATATGATACATACATATTATTTTATAATAACTCTCCTCTTGAATACACTTACCATGATTGGTGCATAAAACTCTCCATTTTCATAACAGTTAATAGAAGATAAAAATTGATCTGTAAATGATTTTAGCATAGCATCATATATTGGTTTTGCGACATCGAAAAATCCTTTCATAATTATTTTGGAAAATGGTCCTTTAGTAGCTACGCGTGTGGCAGAAACCGCGTGAAATTGTGCTAATTTCTTGAGAACCCATTGAGTGTGCTCCACATCGCATCCAAGCAAGCGATCACGATTTTTGTAGCCTAGCGGACCTAAATCTTCGAGTAAAACAGTATCGGTAATTGGTTGTTTTTTAAACTTATAAGCCTTAGCACCAAATGATATTTCCAAGCCCACTGCTTTATACATTTCTTCAAGTTCGGGAACAATATCGAAATACATTTCGTTTTCTGGTATGAACAAATTCATTAATGCTGCCATTTGTCTCATTTGTTCGGTATCGTGAGGCACTTTCAACATATACGAAATAGCTTTACTAGTTTTATCTGAAAAAAAAGAGAGTTTAATATATAAAGCAATAAAGATATTATCATGTTCTCTTCAACACATTCTTCATAAAATTTCATAGCTTCATCATATTTTTATAGAATTCTTACCTGTCAATGCTACTTCAATATTTACACGCAGCATAAGGGTGGCATAATTTTCACCTGGTCTCAATGCTGGCTTCACTTTGAAATCGGTAATTTTATCGAAATTAGGTACATTTTCTTTGAGTATATCTACGAAGTATTCTTCGGTCAACCAAGTGGGCACTACACTCATATCGATTTCTGGTAGTTTCACTTCTGTATTCTCTATATGCCGTGTTTCCACTGTAGTTGCTGTAACTGGTGTTCGATTTTCTTCGACGGCAGGTTGTACTATTGGTGCAGGCTGTGTCGCTGGTGCTGATGCCGCTGTTGATCTTTCATAAGTGAAATCTTGATTAGATACAACGTAGCTGGTTTTTGATTTACGTGCACCCATTTTAAATTTAAAAATTTATCAAAGTTAATTCAAATTATGTGTATTTTTTTTTTTTTGGAAAAAGCTTCTAATATGAACCTGCCACATGCACAAACTTTAGCCAACTGAAATTTAATTTAATAGAATATAGTTAAAATATTTCATAATAGTGCGAATAAGCTTATACATATATTATTACTCTCCGCTTGTTCAGTCTGATAAGCTCTACGCTCAGCATATATATAAATGTACACTGTTCGCTTGTTGCTTGATATCTGTTTAGTTTATATCTATAAGTATAAAATTCTAATCGATAACAGTATTATTTGGTAGATAATATTTTCGATTGTTATTGTTTTTATATATAGAAACATTTTGCTATTGTTATTTTATTGTAATAATAATTCTAATCGCTCATTAATAATCACGTAGAATCATTTCTAGATAACAGCTTGACTATTACAAATACTTAACTACTAGACTTGGTAATTAAGTATGTGGGAAAAATATTTTAAATTTTAGCTTAGCTCATTCATAGAGGTTTTTTGAAATCAAATTGTGCCGATTGTATTGATTAAGCTAATATACATTTTAAAAATAAAAAATAACATATTAAATAAATGTTTGATACGATATTTGCTTCATAAATTTTATATCAGAATGATTTGAAAAAATATTTAAATTCGTAATTGACACGCTTCAACGTCATATCTATTTGATTGTGTTCTTATTACATAAACTTTTAATTATACCCTATATACTTATAGGTATATATTTTAGAAGCAATGTTAAAATTTTTAAAAACTTTCATACAAGCAAACAAAAGTAATTGCTTTGATCTGTCTAGTTCGCAACTTTAATTTAAATTTTAGTTTTAGTTATGAGAAACTATATATATATATTTGAGTTTAAAAACAACAGATTTACTTGGGGTTTACTTAAATTATTACACATAATAATACTTATTATATCTAGCAATGATTAGAGATATTATCTTCTTAGTTTAGTTCAAGCATTGCACACACTTAATAGTAAAGTTGATTCGTGGTTGTAAAAAATTTAGGTCGTTATACAGACTCAACCTGGATTTTTAAAATTTTATGATTAGAAATTTTGATTTTCGGTTTAGGGTTTTGGTTTATATCCATATAGTACACCGCACTACCTTGGGCGATTACTTTGAGTTTTCATGATTTCTATGAGACTTAAAATCACCTAACTTGTAAGAGTTCCAATAATTTTGAAATTCTCTGAATCAGTTTGAGGAAATTGTGAACACATGAATGGTTTTATTTCCAAAAAAGTGCAAAATTGTATTTTTTTTCTACCAGAATTTTTTAGTATGTAGGTATGCTACTATTGAGCCGATGTAAATAATTTTTCCATATAGTAATGTGGTATATAAAAACAAAATTTAAAGTTCAGATAAGATCATTTTTTGGAGTAAACAAGATATATTAGGTAATCGAAATATAATTAGAAAGGGTCAAAAGTTATACATTTTCTGCCCATTAGTTTTTAATTTGAAAATGATAACTTTTTTATTCTGCAATAAATTTTTTTTCTTCATTATTTTTAATAATTATATAACAATTGACTGTTTGTCACGTTTAACAGTTCAAGAAAATTCTAACATCACTTACTTAATTAATCAGGTTATTTATCAAAAAGAAACAACTGCATTTGGGTTGCCTTACTAAATTGAATTTATTATATCTACTAAGTAATTTCTTTCAAACAGCCAGCTAATAGCATCAAAAATGCTAAAAAAACATACAATATGAAAAAATTTTTAAAATTGCTATTCATTCGTGTGTTTCGCAATTATAAAATTATAATTATAATTAGAAATAAGGAAATATGTATTAAATCATACTCAAAAGATAACTGACTATTTAAAAAAAATTAACTTATCGAAGAAGGAAAACAACAAATAACACATACATAATAATATTGATATATTTACAAATTCAAACATTTTTATTAAATATTTTATAACGTACATATTCATAAATAATTTCAATAAATAAAATAATAAAAAAATACATGCAGGTAACAAGGTAACAACGTTAACAAAATTAGTTTTAGTTCAATTAGTTAAACTTACTCAAATTCTAACTGACCACGTCTATTTAACCAAGTAAATATAGCACTAGCATGTTTACGATATCGAGGATTAGAATATAACAAGTCAACGAAACTAACACCTTCTTCACTATCACTTAGCATTGATTCAATGCTAGCGTTCTCTGTAGGTTCCAGCAATACTGCGGTCAAAACATTGGTGGAAGTAGTTACTCCTAAAATTATATACACATTACAGTACACAAATATTCTTCAGCCGCAATATATTATGTGACTTACCATAAATTCCATATTTCAAAAGATCAATATGCAATTGCTTTAAAGTTAGAATTTCACGTGGATAGTTCAAAAGTTTCAAATTTTTTACCAAATGTTCATGATAGTGCCTAATAAAGCCATCGAAATGTTCTAATTTAATATCATAAGTTGGTGACGAAAAAATGAAGTAGTATAGATCCTGAGCGGGAGTACCATATCGACTCATTTGAAAGTCTACAAAGTACACATTTTTAATCTTTCCAGCATCATCGTATTGATACATTATATTATTAGTCCAACAATCTCCATGATTTAAGACATTAATACTGCTTTCAGCACCTTTGTCTGCTGCCTGACATTTATCATATAAAGTTTTTTCATTGCTAATCTGCAAGAAATTTGTGAATTATATTCAGAGTGATCTATACACTCATACTCAATTAAAGAAATACTCATAAGTATGTTTGTACTTACAATTTTTTCTGCATATTCTTCGCTATTTTCAAAGGTCCTTAAATGTTTATAAAAAATGCCGAAGAACTGTTGACCCATGCCTTCAAAAAATGCTCGATTTTCTTCGCTTTTTAAGCTCTTGGTCAAATATTCTGGATAAGCGTTATTATTTTTTTCATACAACATCGCGGAGGCAGCATGGAATTCTGCTAATTTTTCTAGCACACGTTTGGTATGTTCCATATCTAAACCAGCAATGCGGTCCGCATTCTTAAAACCAAGGGTACGTAAATTTTCCAAAAGTAAATGATCACAATTTGTATTCTTCACGAACTTGTAACTCTTGGGTGCAAATACTATATCGTGTCCAGCTTCTTTATAAATATTTTCAAGCTGTGGCACAATATCGTACATAGCCATTTCTTTGTTGAAAGTATTGAAAACTTTCATCATAGCGCTAGCTTTTTCAGTGTCTAAAGGTATTTTCAGCATAAATGAATTTGGTTGAATAGTACCATCTGGATTTTAATCATACAAGTAAATAAATAAAAATAATTCTGCCTATTTAAGATTTACCTGTTAGTTCGGTTTCGATGTCAATTCTAAGCATAATAGATGAGTAATTGTCTCCCGAACTTGTTGCTGGGTTTATCTCAAATTTGCTTATTTTTTTGAAGTTTGGTATTTCTTTTTCTAAAATATCAATAAAATACGTTTCTGTTACCCATGCTGGGTACTTCGGTTTTGCTTGTTGGTCATTCGCCGACGTCAGGGCGGATTCTTCAACCGAGGTCTCAGTGACTTGTGAAATTTCTACTGGCGTTGATATTTGAATTGCAGTGAGTGGTTTATTTGTGCTAAAATAAAATAAAATTTTAAATTTTTGTATAATATTTCAACTGTCGTTGAACTTAAAATAATCGGTAAACAAAATAAATTTTACTTACAATGGTTCCAAACAACCACGATTATAGAACCAAGGTAACAATTTGGATATGTGTTGACAATATCTGGGATTGGAGAAGAGCAAATTTTTAAATTCTACACCTTCGGCACCATCTGAGATAAAATTATCAAAGCTGGCCTTTTCCGTTGGATCTAACAAGACGGCAGATAATGTTGTCATTCCAGCACTTACTCCCCAAATGCCATATTTAAGCATTTGTACGTGTAGCTCACTTAATGTTGGTATGTTTTTGGGATATTTTAATAATTTTAGATGTTCGATTAAATTATCATAATAATAGCGTAGAAAATGATCAAATTGACTCAATTTTACATCAAGGGCAGTGGAAGTTATTAAAAAGTAATTCAAGTCTTGAGCAGGTGAACCATATCGAGGTATTTGTAGATCAACAAATTTTGTGTCTAATATTTTGCCATCATTTGCATATTGAAATAGAATATTATTAGACCAGCAATCTCCATGGTTAATAACATTAAATTCATCTGGGTCTGGTATGAGTAAACAGTCGAAATTATCTGCCATTACGTCAAAGAATGATTTCTAGAAATAATAGTAAAAATTATATTTTAATAATTTAATAATCAATTTCGTAATAAATGTAAGTACGTGCTAATGAATTCGTTTCTAATATTTAAAATTAAATATTTTTAGGGAAAGAAAAATTTTTTATTTGTTTTATCTATATGATACATACATATTATTTTATAATAACTCTCCTCTTGAATACACTTACCATGATTGGTGCATAAAACTCTCCATTTTCATAACAGTTAATAGAAGATAAAAATTGATCTGTAAATGATTTTAGCATAGCATCATATATTGGTTTTGCGACATCGAAAAATCCTTTCATAATTATTTTGGAAAATGGTCCTCTAGTAGCTACGCGTGTGGCAGAAACCGCGTGAAATTGTGCTAATTTCTTGAGAACCCATTGAGTGTGCTCCACATCGCATCCAAGCAAGCGATCACGATTTTTGTAGCCTAGCGGACCTAAATCTTCGAGTAAAACAGTATCGGTAATTGGTTGTTTTTTAAACTTATAAGCCTTAGCACCAAATGATATTTCCAAGCCCACTGCTTTATACATTTCTTCAAGTTCGGGAACAATATCGAAATACATTTCGTTTTCTGGTATGAACAAATTCATTAATGCTGCCATTTGTCTCATTTGTTCGGTATCGTGAGGCACTTTCAACATATACGAAATAGCTTTACTAGTTTTATCTGAAAAAAAAGAGAGTTTAATATATAAAGC